TCTTACCGTATACTGTTAAATTCACTTAACTTTTTTCTTCTTTTTCTTTCATGTCTACTTTAAATAACAAACAAACATTAATTAGGTTATTAAATGTGGCATTTCCAGGAGTATTTTGTTTTTTGTTTTAGTTTGATTTTACTTGCAAAATCAGGTTCAAGTTTGTCTAATTATAAATTAGGGCCTTTTTTTTATCTATTGATAATCTTTTCATGTTAAAGAAATAATGTATTCTAGTATAAACTTTGTATTTAAGTGTGATTGTGTAAATCCTAAATTATATTTGATTCTAGTTATTCTTCCTTATTAGGGCTTGTATTCCTTGGAGGAGAAGGATTCTTCCCTATCATATTACTATAAATAAAGGCACTGAGTAGGGGGATAGCACGTCCTCTACACAACCCTACAAACACATATCTCTCTATTTTCTCTCTCTTTGTCGCCGGCCCTATCTCTCCTATAAAATAAGCCCCAACCCATTATCAACACGCTCCTACCCCTGCGCTTAAGAATTTGACGTGAAAATTATTTGTCTTCAATCAGTGGAGTATTAGATTTCAATTATTTTTAATTGATTAAATTTTGATTTTATTGATTCAATTCAAAAAAATTTGTGTTGAACATGGTACAGGATTGGAGATAAAAAGCCGAAATTGAAGAATAATTTTCTACATCAAATCAGTTCATCAATATTATCATGTAATCAGGTTCTTCCAAAACAACAGTTTTTATATCGATAATTTTACAACCCTGATAGCCTGAACATTCACCATAATACGTTACTTAACTTTATGTTTTTCGAAATTTAGATTCTACATAAATTATGTATGCATTATATTCATAATTGTTAAATTATGTGAATTGATATTGCTATGGATCCTTTGTTGTTGTTGATATTGCTATGGATCATATTGAATATATGTTCATGCATTAATTCTATAGTTTGATTATGCATGAATTCAATTGAATTGAATTGAACGAAAAAAAAAATTGAAAATTAGGGTTTTAGAACCCACATTGTGTAGCGGCCTCGAGCTGCGCTGCCGACCCTGAGCTCAAGTCGGAGCCATAAGCTCCAAGCCTTTGGAACCCAGACCCTAGACATTGTTTGGACATCGTCCACCCACCCAAAATCCTTACGCTTTTCACAGTGTCACACACATGGCCCACAGCCATTCCTAACCACCACGGTTGCCATCTCCGACGACTTGCAGTCGTCACTGACCATGATTTTAGCCAAGATTCGTATGAATCTCCACGAATTTCGAAGACCCCAATTCGAATTTGAGGGTTTTTGGTTTATGGACGATGAGATTTTTCTTTGTCCGTCACATCGTCAAGGTCCCACGTCAAACTCATGACTCGGTCTGAGTTCTTTTACCATAATGCAATTACCTGAAGCAGTGACGCTAGCATTCTTCCTGGATAACCATACCCAGTGAAGTTGGGGTGCTCTTAGGCTAAAACCTGAGCCCGGTTGGGCATTGGTTTCTTCTTAACCTAAAAAAATAAAGTTTTTTTTCCTTCCTTTGGGCTTGCCTATAATGGCCCATTGCTTTGGCTTGGCCTGCGTGACATTGCATGTAGGGCTATGGTGTCTTAGTGCACAAGATTAGAGAATGTCGGTTCAAATAGGCTGATGATGAAAAACAATATGGAGCAGGTTATATGAATCAAACCAATTCTGGAGATGGTGATTATAAAGACTCTTTATTGCTTACATGTCATGAAGATCAAATGAATGATGTGTGGTATTTGGATAGCGGAGCTAGCAAGCATATGACTGGTAACAAAAACCTTTTTCCTACCCTCTATATGTTTGATCATGGTCAGTAAGAATTGTTGATGACAGAGCCTATAAAATGAGGGAATTGGTGAGGTGTCTTTCAAAACAAAATCTGGAACAATTGAGAAGGTTTCTGAAGTATAATATGTTCCTTGTTTGAAAAGTAATTAATTAAGTATGGGTCATCTGATGAGGAAGGGTTATGATATTCGCCTCCGTAGTGATTTTTGTGTTCTCAAAAGGAAGGATACGTTTGTTGCCAAGGTTGGACTTGTTGCAAATAACTTGTTTCCTTTGAAGCTCTAGACAACAAAACTATCTTGCTTTGTGAGTGCTGAAAAAGAAGTCTCTAAGTTTGGGCATGACATATATGGCCATTTAAATTATGAAAGTTTGAAGTTGCTGTCAAACAAAAGAATGGTACATGGGCTGCTTCAAATTGATCCCGTAGATGGCGTTTGTGAAGATTGTTAATTTGGTAAGCAACATAGAAGTTCATTTCCTTCAAAGTCTTCTTGGTGAGCAAAAAAGCCATTGGAGCTTATTCATTCTGACTTGTGTGGTCCAATGCCAGTAGCATCTTTGGGAGGTAATCTATATTTCATTACATTTATTGATGATTTCTCAAGAAAAGATTGGGTCTACTTCCTCAAAGAAAAATCTGAAGCATTTCAAGGCCGAAGTTGAAAAGTTTGTTAGCCTTCCAATCAAAAGTTTGAGAACCTATTGTGGTGGAGAGCAAGGTTCTAAAAAATGCTAGGTGCTAATCGGGAGGCGGGTTGGCACCTAGAGCCTAGGCAAATTTAGGTAAATTTCTTGTATATCTTGTAAATAAGTGCATATTGACACTTACAAAATATTATACTTGTATGAAATCCATGGATAAGATAATAAAATAATGATAAAATGCAAAATGAGAATCCAACAAGTCCAAAATTTAAAAACACATTAAGCATATATGCCATATAAGTGTGGTTTTAAATGACATTAGGCGCTAGTCGGGCGGTGAGCAGGGGCCTAGCGCCTAACGGACTAGGCGGATTTGGAATAAATATATTACATACCATATAAATTAGTTAAATTTATTTTATACTAGATAATTAAACATTGCGGAATATGTTATTTTAAAAAAATATACATATCTAACATAAGAATATATTATAGGCTAATGTTATTCTGATCTTAAAAAGAAAAATAATAATATAATATAATGCAAAAGTATAATAAAATGTTGTTTTAAAAAGAACAAATAATAAAATATTATCTAAATAATTTATATAATTTATTTATTAGGGGATAGTGGGTGGGTAATTATTGTTTATCCCTTTATTTTAGGATAAGGATGGTGGATTTTAGGCCAAACTAAGCTTCTTTTCCACTTTCGCAATCTCCCTGCTGCCCATTCTCTTTCTTTTACCTTGTCTTCTTCATTTCTATCTCTCCATCTTCTTCTCTTCTGAAAAACCAGAAATCATACATCGAAAATATCTCCCTCTATCCCTCCAAATTAAAACAACTCCCTCAATTCCTTCATCTCTCCACCACACACTCCCTCTATCCACCACAGCACTTCTCCGTTTTCATGCACAAAAGTCATGGGTTTGCAATATTGGTCAAATTTGAGATGCACCACAACGAGTGACTTCTAGAGATTCTAGGTTTGCAGTTTGCATAGACACATAGTAGAGAGACGAGGAACCACCTGCCATGCCGCCTAGCATTGCCTAGTGCCACCTAGCGCCGCCTAGTCAACCACCTAAACCCTCTCTATTCTATTGAACATTTTGCCCAAAATCGCCACGGAAGCCCACCGCCCAGCGCCTAGGCTAATTTTTAGAACACTAGTGGAGAGTATCTCTCCAATGAATTTCAAAAATATTGCAGAGGTCATGGAATAAAGCACCAGTTGACAGCCCGATATACACCGCAACAAAGTGACGTGAGTGAAAGAAAAAATCGGACAATCATGGAGATGGTGAGATGCATGCTTAAGAAGAAAAGATTGCAACAAGAACTTTGGGTAGAAGTTGTTTCTTGTGCTGCATTTTTAATCAACAGATCACCAATAAAGAGTTTGAAAGATTGCACACCTTATAAAACATGGTATGGAGTGAAGCCGAGAGTGCAACATTTGAAGATTTTCGGGTGTATTGCCTATTCCCATGTTCCAAAGGAGTTGAGAAACAAGCTTGACCATAAGGCAGAAAAGTGTATTTTCATTGGATATAGTGAAAGGAGCAAGGCCTACAAGCTGTAAAATCTAAATACCAGAAAGTTCTTGATCAGCCGTGATGTGCACTTTGATGAAAATGCTTTCTTTGAAGAAGAAAATGGTATAGTAAAATTTCCTATTGTGCAAGAAGAAAATGATAATTATCAATAAAAAATTGCTCCTCATTCTCGAAGAGCTACATCAAGTGATGACAACTCGCCTCCAAGAAAGTTCAAAAGTATACGAGATCTTTATGACAACTCAGAGCAAGTAGAATTGGAGGATAACACTATATTCTTTGCCTTCTTTACTAGAGAGGATCCAATTTCATTTAATGAAGCATGTGAAGAGGAAAAATGGAAGCAAGCCATGGATGAAGAAATAAAGGCCATTGAGAAGAATGGGACTTGGGAGCTCACAAATCTGCCAGCACACAAGAATCCTATTGGTGTTAAATGGGTATATAAGACAAAGAAAAATGAAGATGTGTCCATTAACAAGTACAAGGCGAGACTCGTTGCAAATGGTTATAACAAAAGGAAGGTGAAGACTATACTGAAATTTTTGCTTCTGTTTCTAGACTTGACCCTATTCGACTGATCATCTCTCTTGTTGCACAGAACAATTGGGAAATTTTTCAAATGGATGTAAAGTTTGCGTTATTGAATGGTGTCCTTCAAGAAGAAGTTTATTTGGAGCAGCCACCTAGATATGTGAAGAAAGGACAGGAAAATAAAGTCTACAAGGTTAAGAAGGCATTATTTGGGCTCAAGCCATAGTGAGGGAGTTATACAACTAAAGTATTGCAAAACAGATGAACAGATGGCAAACGTGTTCACAAAACCACTTGGTGGACAAGTGTTCAATCGAGATTTTGCAAGACTAGGAATCAAAAGCAAATTTGGTTTAAGAGAGGCAATGTTTGAAGGTTAAACCAAATTTAAATTACAAAGAAAGAGTCATAAATCAGGTTTAAGAAAGATAGAAGTTCTAGAGTTGTGATGTTTGGAATTTCTAGAGTTAATCATGATTTCTCTAGATGTTTCAATTATTAAGAAGCTTATAATTAGGCTACATAAATGATGATGTATTGAAGTGGCTATAAAAGTCATGTAGTGTTATGAGTTTGATGTGTGAAAGAAATCAGAAGAGTCTTTTCAAGTTTAAGAACCTCTCTCCTCTCCTATTAAAATGTTTCTCTATCGCTTTTCCTCCTACACTCTTCAATTCGAATAAGTGCTCTAGCCACATCCACCATACATCGTCGGCCTTCAGTTCTACGGTCAATGCACAACAATGCCAGGTTTAGGAAATCATGCAACTGGTGTTGTAACTGGTGTCGTACTTGCACATTTCGCCTCACTTCCTCATAGATCTTTGGATCAACAATTGCCTCAAGTCGACAATGACAACCTTGAACATATGAAATCAAAGAGCCAATTCCTTCTACCTGATCAGATTCCACAGCTTTTCCTCCGGTCAGGAATACAAGTAAGAGCACACCAAAGCTATAAATATCAGTTTTGCACCACAGGTAGACAGGGTCAATGTACCCAATTGTCCCAGTCACATCATCTTCAACATCCGATTCCACAGGAGGAATGGTTATAGAGTGCGAGAAGACGTAAAGTTTGGGAACATAGTCATCATCCAAGAACAGGCAGCTGGGTTTCAGATCCACATAAATGATGTGTCCGGCAAAAGCGGTATGGAGATATGAAACTGCACTAGCAACCTGCTTTGCAATACGCAATCTAATGTTCCATGGTAGTATGATTTGATCTTCATTAGCCCCTCTTAAACTTCCATCAGGATTGAGAACTCCTTTTGCTACGTATTCATGCACTAGCACTGGTATAGGGAACTCTAAGCAGCAGCCCAAGAGTTTCAAAACATTCTCATGGTGGCTCATCTGTAATGAAATGACAATGTCACGGATAACGCAAGACCTGCCCCAATCCTCCTTTCGGCTCCCAAGGCGGTACTTTGCAACGATAATTGATCGGCCATCTAGAAGTCCCCTGAACATTTTGTAGCCTGAACTCTTAGTTACAATGCGAGAAGGATGGAAGTTGTTGGTTGCCCTGATGATGTCATCAGCAGAGTAACAATGAATAGGATGAGATTCGCCATCGCCAGAAGCAAAGAGATCCTCTAATAGCTTTTTTAGATTCTTGTAGTACGACCACTCTCTTTCCTTCTTCCTAAAAAATGGTAGCCTTGGGAACCTGGCACAAATATATAGACACACGTATGTAACACAAGAAAAATTAATGAAACTATATATATTTTTGTTGCCATTCCCAACAACGAAAAATAAAATGTTGAAATGTAAATAATCTTCTAATTCTGTAGTGCGGTACACCTACTTTGGTACCATGTTTAACTTATGGCTAAAACTTATACTCGTAAACTTGGCTAAACAACAAGAACGAATGAGAGATTGATTTTTTCCCCATTTATGTGGTACTAAATACGTTCAACGATTAATGTTCTCGAAAAAATATTACTTTCGGGTTCAGCACATGAAATTTCGTTCGAGTTAAACTTTATACAATGGTAGAAAGCACCTCGCAGACCTTGAAAAAAACATAGAGGAATTAAATCTGAAATAAGCTGATAACTTACAGTTTCACAAGTTTTGATGGCATTGTTTAAATTAAGACTGCACAACTGCGTAGATCGATCGATTTCTCCTGCAGTTTCATTTTCTTCTGCGGACGGATGACTAGAGTTTTGAAGACTTGGAAGTTTATTGGTAATGCTTTGCAAAGTCAACGATGCCTGGCCTGTTAAGAAATTACATGGTGCAGTAGGCGGTGGGCCAGGCCGAAGAAATATACATAATAAAGACAACTAATGACTTGCAAAGAAAGAAAGAAGGAATGAACTAGGAAATAGGAGGCTGTGACAAAGTCACATCCATGATACACTCACCCATCATGCAACGCAAAACACATCAACGGCCTTACAATTTCACCTTCAAACCCACCTCCAAATACACATATCACCCGAAAACCGGCATAAAGTTTCATAGAAGAAGCAGGCCTGTGCGGCTGTGCCTGCCACCGCAATCCCAATGTGATGAATTTCCAAATTCACATTTCTCTTTCCTTGTTTATCAAACATGGAAGCAATGAGAACCTAATACGCGTGCGCGCGCCCACACAGAAATGTATTTATAGGTCAAGGACGTACAAATTATAACACAAATAATCAAAAGAAAAGGATCAAATGGATTGCTTGACTGAAACAATAACTCAAATCAAGACATGCTTATTTTGCACAAAAATTAATGAAAAACATAAACCAAAACTTGTGACATGCCCCAACCCCGATATCTCCAAATACCAGGATGGCCATTTTAACACGCGTGCAAATTATAAAAGAATAACAAATGTAAATAAAATAGATAACTTGAAATATGCAAATACAGAAACGTGTTCAGAGCATACAACAAAACAAGAATAATGTGGAAGAATTACAATAAAAATATGAGGATGAAGGAATGGGTCCTACACTGGGAAGACTCGAATGTACCTATGCGAAGGTGCGCTGACACCTGGATCGAATGCCTCGATTCTAACTCCTGAAGGGGGCGCAAAAACCAAAGGGTGAGTAGACCAAAGTTTATAATAATAATACTAATAATAGGAAAAACATTTTCTTTTTTAACATACTAACCCCCTATATTGAAAACTCATATATAGTACTACATAATAGGTTTTTCTGAAAACTCTAGCATGCCATGAAAAACATTTGTAGTCATAAAAATCATCTCTAAGGTGGTATCGAAATGCTCGAAGGCAAAACCCGATATACTCAACTAGGGGTATCATAGTCGCCTGAAGGCATAACTTGTCCATCACCCAAAGGTAAAGCTATACGACATTGGGTTACACCTGTGAAGAACATGGTAGGCCCCATCACCCGAAGGTGAAGCTGTACGACTCTGGGTTATGCCAGAGGAGAAACATATACATATAACATAACACGCCGACAATAGCCGTGGCTAGTGAAGCTCTCCGACACTAGTTTCGCCAGTGAAGCTGGGGGTATGTTATAAATATCCTTAACCGTTCCTATGGCCATAGACGTCTACGTACCCGTGTTGTGTGTATGTGCTGTATGATAACCCACTAGATAAGCACAGAAAACATTTCTCAAAATCTCATAACAAATCTTCGGAGCTCTAAGGCTCAAAGCATCAATTCACAAACCTTGATAGTTCATATTCGTAAATCCATAAAATAAATCATACATAATTCCATAGAATTTCATATGATAATCCAATATTTCATAACCTTTGGTAAAACGTAAATTCGAATAAATCATAATTAATGCATAAAACATAAGATTATAAAATCATGCTTTTCATGAATACAAGCCTAATAATTTAGCAAAAACATGCAAGTTAAGCAGGGGTCCACTCACCCATATTCCGCTACCTAGAAATCGCTCGAACTAGGGAGGACATGGTCACTTCCACCGATGCACCTAAACACAAATAGAGAGGCATTTAATAAAACTATACTAAAACGATAGAATTTGGGAAAACGAATAGCGGATTCGGATTCGGCATGCTGAGAAACCTAAAGAGGGACCTCGGGTTCCCCTACTCGCCGTGATAGGGCGGCGGTCTGGTGGCCATGTGCCACCCTTTGCGCGGCCACGCACTAAGATAAGTCGTCGGAAAGTTGGTCGGAAAAGTCGCCGACATCACCGTGGTCGCCCTCATGGACAGCGGTGGAGCACAGTACCTTCGGCGGAAGCGTGTGTGCTCCACACGTTGACTAAGGTTGCGCCCACGTGCGAATTCACTCGTAGCCTACACGCCAACTATGGAAATGGGTTTCAGACTCGGATTGGGTCAGATCTGGGCTTAGGTCTGATGGGTTGGACTGGGTTTGCTGGGTTGAGTTGAGTTAGAGTTAATGGGCCAAGGGTTTTGGGCCTAGGTTACTGGGTTAAAGGATTTAGGCCTAGATATTAGGTTAAAGGATTTAGGCCTAGGTTATAAAATTGGGCTTGGGTTAGTAGGTCGCATGGCCCAAAGGTTTGGGCTAGTTTTGGGTTGTGGGTCAGGTTGACCCGATTGTGTTTTGGGGTCACCGAACCCAACGAATGAGAAAGCTGGACTTTTGGACGGAAAACTTCCCCGACTCCATTTTAGGGTCAAAACTCCACCATTTCTAGTGATTTTTCAACCAAAATGAAGCTAAGGAGACATGGATTCGAATCGTACCCTTAGTTTCCTTGGCTATGGCCTTAGTTTCCTTGGCTATGGCCTAATTTCACCCCAAAAAAGGCTAGAAAGCCACTGGGTTCCTCGCCGAAAACTGAAGAAGGTTTCTCCTGAAATGTTTTCTACATCTACATGCGTGATTAACTCCTAAACTACCTTAATCCAACACAAAACACAATCTATGGGATTCCATGGGTTTACCTTGGTCGGAGATTCAAGAAGCTTGCCAAAGTACAACGAGGTGATTCCACTGTGTTCCCTTGTACAGAGAGAGAAGAAGTCGGAAGAAGAAAGAGTTGGGAAAATTAGAGGCAAAAAGGGTCATGGTGGTGAGGTCGTTGTTGCTGTTGTATGTATGCATGGTTATGTGTGTATGGTGCTCGGGAATGGAGAGGGAGAGAGTTGCAGAGAAGAAAGGTGAGGGAGAGTTTGAGAATGTTCAAGAGGTTCAGGGAGGGAAGGACACGGGGAAGAAATGGGGTGTGGGCCCCACGAGTCACCAAAAAATAATCTCTACTAATTAATAAAACACTCATTGTCAACCAAAATCTTATGAAATTACCAGTTCAACCCTCTAATTAAAACAGAACATGAATAAGAAATATGGGGTAAAAATGTAATTTCACACAACCAAATTTTGCTGTTTTTTTTTTCAAAGTCTCACCTACATGTAATCCTAACATATCTCTAATTAAAAAACAAAAAACAAAAAAAAAAACTTTCCACTCCCACATTCTCTATCACTCTCTTCCTCTCTCCTATTTCAAAAACAAAAATAAAAAAATTTCTCACACACTTTGTGTGTGCCCATATGGTAGTAAAATAAAATAAAATAAAATAAATATCCCACCCCAAAATCTAGAATAGTGAATTGACTATTTTGCCCATCGAATTCAAAATTCCGTAAAACGTTCATCGTAACTCCAAATTCGATTTCATTTACTCCTACATGTTCATAGCAACAAGTACTTCCCGAATAATTAAGAGAAAAGTTCCTACATGTCATAGAACGAAAGTCAACAGAAGTCAACACTTTCTTCGTTAAGGGCATTTTCGTAAATTCATATTTTAAAAATTATAAAAATCGTAACAGTTGGGGACTGGTCGTTACAACTTGCAAGATTTTGGATGGCATATTGTTTACTTTCTCTGGTGTAGAATCTAGGCCCTCAATATATTTGTTGATATCTCAACCGAGTCCAGTACAGGTCTTATATGCAAGCACATGTAATTTACAAGTCTTCTTCCCTTGCACATATGCACTGAAAGCGCAGGTCAACGATAAAACCATTTTATTGACTTTAGCCATATTTACATCTACGCCCCTAAATCTAAACTTTCATCTCATATTGTATCCTTGATAATCAAAATGTCTCACTTAACTCTGTAAGTTCTTACTGCGTGTGTCATCTTACCGTATACTATTAAATTCTATTAAATATCTGTTAGTGGGCTGACATGACATGCTTATGATATACTAAAAAAATAAGTTAGACTAAACCAAGATAAAGTCATTTTATAGACTTTAGCTAAGCCCTTGAATTTAAACATTCACCTCATATTGTATCCTTAATAATCAAAATGTCTCACTTTACTCTGTAAGTTCTTACTGCGTGTCTCATCTTACCATATACTACTAAATTCTATTAAAATATATGTTAATGCGTTGAAATGACATGCTTATGATATACTAAAAAAAATGGTTAGACTAAACCCAAAATATATATATAAACTAAAAGAAAAGGAAAAATGCAAGTTGCTAACCACTTCCCGATTGATCCAGATCATCAAGCTTAAAGAACCGTAGATAGAGGCTCAATCCCCGATAGAGAAACTTAAACTTTATTGGAACCCAATAAATCTCTTTGTAGACATTGAAATTTCGGTGAAATAAATGTTGACCATTGCATTACATTGGTAGACATTGAAATTTCGGTAAAATAAATGTTGACCATTGCATTAAAATGACAACATCCACTCATTTCACCTACATCATACACTTAATTCACCTACAACAATCCATCCAATTCACCTACAACCTCCACCCAATTCAACTACAACAATCCACCCACTCCACCTACAACATCCACCAAAACAAAAGGATGGTGGTAATTCATTCTCAAAGCCTATAAATAGGCCTCTCCATCAAAGGATCAAGGAGGAAATTTACATACATTTTCTCTACTCTCAAGCAAATCCCGAAGGATCAAGAAAGCCCTCTTCGTTCTTCGTGAAATCCTCCTTCAAGATCAAGCCCCAACGACCCTTGAAGAACTTCCACCAATTCAAGATCAAGCCCCAATGGCCCTTGAAAAAAGTGTTCATCATTCATCAATCGTTCATCTAGGATCAAGCCCCAACAGCCCTTGGATCAACAACACATTCTGCAAATCTACGTCGTACAAAGATTGAATCAAAAGCTAAATTTGTAGAAGAGATTGTAACCCTTAAATCATTAATACAAATATTATTTTGTACACGTGTTCTTGTCTCATTCATTGTAG